GTGTGATGATGATGATGTTGTACCCGCTGCTGCTTCCTTTACTGAGTTGTCAGATACAAGTGAAGCGTTTGATGATGACGATGGTCCATGGATGCCGACGGGTGCCTGCTCGCCAAGAAGAAGAACAGGGCGAAAGTTCAGATGGGGGAGACAGGGAGGAGGAGGAGACGAGTTGGAAGCAGGGGGAGGTCGCCGCGAAGGAGCGCATAGTGGCACAGTCAGACAGCATGCATCGGCACCCGGGGTCAGCCCGACAGCACGCCAATCAACGCATGCTGTGTCCACCACCAGAATGCCGTCATTGCAGAGCTCAGCAGTGTGGAATTTTTTTTGTGTGTCTGCCTCTGACAACAGCTATGCCATTTGCAACCTGTGCCAAAAGAAACTGAGTCGTGGGAAGTCCAACACCCACCTAGGTACAACTGCTTTGCGTAGGCACATGATCTCACATCACAGACGCCTATGGGATCAACACATGAGTACAAGCAGCTCGCTTACTCTAAGCCGCCAGCCTCCTCCTGGTCCAGCATCTTCAGCCACGTCAACCACTGCTGTCCTCCTTGTCCCCTCTCAACCATCCACCACTCCGCCTCCCGCCTTGAGTAAAGTTCATCATCTTCTCCCACAGTCATGTGTCTGTCAAGGACATGTTTGAGCCGTAAGAAGACAATGTCAGAAAGTCACCCCTGCCCAGCGCCTTCCGACTGCTGGCTTGTCCTAACTTATTAGCCCAGCTTTACCATACAAGCTGGTGGAGTCTGTGGCGTTCAAAAAATTTGTAGCTATTGGGACACCGCAGTGGAAGGTACCCGGCCGAAATTACTTTTCGCAAAAGGCAATCCCCAACCTGTACTCAATTGTGCAAAAGGAAGTAATAGCATCTCTGGTACACAGTGTTGGGGCAAGGGTCCATTTGACCACTGATACCTGGTCTGCAAAGCATGGTCAGGGCAGGTATATCACCTACACCGCGCATTGGGTAAACCTGCTGACTGCTGCCAAGCATGGAATGCATGGCTCTGCAGAGGAGTTGGTGACACCGCCACGACTTGCAGGCAGTCCTGCTGCCACCCCCTCTACTCCTCCTACTCCATCCTCTTCCATAACCTCCTCGGCTGAGTCCTCTTCTGCTGCTGCGTCTTGCTCCACATCAACGGCACACCCCCAGCTCCCCAGGTACTATTCCACACCCCGGATACGGCAGTGTCACGCCGTCTTGGGTTTGACTTGCTTGAAAGCAGAGAGTCACACCGGACAAGCACTCCTGTCCGCCCTGAACGCACAGGTGGAAAAGTGGCTGACTCCGCAGCGACTGGATATCGGCAAAGTGGTTTGTGACAACGGAACAAATTTGTTAGCGGCATTGAAGTTGGGCAAGCTGTCACATGTGCCGTGCATGGCACATGTGTGTAATCTGATCGTACAACGCTTTGTGCATAAGTACATAGGCTTACAGGACGTCCTGAAGCAGGCCAGGAAGGTGTGTGGCCATTTCAGGCGTTCCTACACGGCCATGGCTCACTTGCCGATATCCAGCGGCGAAACAACATGCCAGTGAGGCGCTTGATTTGCGACAGCCCGACACGTTGGAATTCAACACTCCTAATGTTCGACCGCCTGCTCCAACAAGAAAAAGCCATTAATGAGTATTTGTATGACCGGGGTGCTAGGACAGCCTCTGCGGAGCTGGGAATTTTTTTGCCACGTTACTGGATGCTCATGCGCAATGCCTGTAG